GATATGGACCATAATATTTAGATGAAAGATTTAAACTTTTCTAAAAAGCCAAAAAAGTTTGTTTATAGCGCTTGAGTTTTAAATGTAGTTTATCTCCCACCTCAAACTCTCTTTCATTTTTTTTTCTGTCAGTATACAATTTCATCCTCTGTTAAGCTTTATTCAACTGATTAACTATCAACCTATTAACTTGTTCTCTATTTTTCAGTAACTCTTCCACATTTGCCACTCTTGCTTGACTACTTGCATACTATGCTAAGGTTGGTGGTTTACATCCATACAAAGCCTGAAATGAAGACATTTTTAGAAAAGTGTGATAGCTTGTATTATACCACCATTTGACTAACGGTAGCCACTAAACTCAACTTTTAGGCTTGAGAAAACACATACACCGTAAATACTGCTCTAAATACTAATTAACCTTTTTGGCTTACCTATCAAATTCTGGATAGTAAGTTGTATTTAGATGAACTATGGTTCCCAATAATTTCATCAACTCCTACCAAAACGTAATAGTGAAGATTGGATCCCTGTCAAAAATAACAAATTTTGGAGTCCCACATAGTTTATGAACTTGGTTAAGTTATATTTTGGCTACTTCCATAATTCTAAAAGGATAGGATAAAAAAAAGTGACTATACTTAGTGAATTTATCCACTATCACCATAGTACAGCTAAATTTTTTAGATAAAGAGAACCTTTCAACAAAATTCATGCTAATTACATCTCAAGCTTACTGTGGTATCTACAAAAGACCAAGATAAGGAACATGCTCATCTTTGTTCCTTTGATAGGTATCACATTGTTTGATATACTCACAGATTTGTTTCTTCAGCCTAGGCCAATAAAAATTCATTTTAAGTTTGTGGTTGGTCGCTTGAATTTTTGAATGCCCACTTGAGGTGAATTATGCAAGTTTTGAAAAATCTTCTCCTTTAATTGCCCACTGTTACCTACATATGTTTTTCCTTTAAATCTTAAAACTCCATTATTGAATGAATAGTAAAAATTATCAAGAGGATAAATGATAGAAGCTTTAATTTGCTTTCGTGCCACTATATCACCATTATAGCTATACTTGATCTCTTTTTCCATTTTGGTATAAATGTAATTGATTGCAAGCTATAACTTTGTGTTTTTTTCTCATGCTACGTGGATAAAACATTTGTTGCTATATTTTTTTTTTGCCCTTTCTATATTGTATAAAGTAATTCGGCCCACGTACTTTGGTTAGTCCTCTTTTTTGAATGGTGGTGGTTAACTTCTACTCAAGCAAATGTTTTAAGGCTTCATGATTTATCTTGATAACGAATGATTTTTCTTCTAAGTAGTGTCTCCATTTTGTTACTACCATTAGTATGGCTAAATACTCTTTTTCATAAGTAGAAAGGTTTATATGTCTAGTACTAAAACCTTGCTTAAGTAAGCTATTGTCTTTCCATCTTAGGATAAAACAGCTCCAATTTCATTATTGCTAGTGTTAGTTTTCACTATAAAAGGTTTATTGAAATCAAGTAATGCTAAGATAGGGGCAGAACACATGACCTCCTTGAGTTGATTGAAAGCTGATACTACTGTAGGTGTCCATTTAACCATTTAACCTATTTTCTTTAAGCATATCTGTGAGTGACTTACTAATCTCCCTATAGCTTTTTATGAACTTCTTGTAATATCAAGTTAATCCAAGAAATCCCTTCAAAGACTTAAGGCTGTGGTCAGTTTTGCATTGCTTTTATCTTAACATAATTTATAGATATCCTTTTAGCTCATATAATATGCCCCAAATATTCAACATGCCTTTGACTAAAAAACCATTTATTTCTTTATGCACATACAATGTTTAATTGTTCTGTATGTTCTCTCAAGTTAGAACTATATACAAGAATATCATTAAAAAATACCAGCATAAATTTTCTTAAATGAAGAGTAAATATATCATTCATGAGAAGCTGAAATGTTACAGGTGCTTTGGTAAGTCCAAATGGCATTACTTTAAATTCATAATGGCTATAATGAATTATGAAGGCTGTCGTATGAATGTCATCTTCTTTCACCTTTATTTGCCAATATCCTAATTTAAGGTATATTTCTAAGAAGTAGTTTGCTCTTTTTGGCTCATCTAAGGGTTCTTCCACTATAGGTATAAGGAATTTATTTTTTGCCATCATTATGTTCAATTGTCTATAGTTGATGCACATCCTCAAAGTGCCATCCTTCTTCTTGACTAATAAACATAGAGAAGCAAAAGGGTTCTTATTGGTTTGTATGATAGAAGAAGATAACATTTCTAGTATTTACCTTTTAGTCTTATTCTTTTGATAATGGTTGACTCTGTAAGGTTTTAGATTAACAATTTGATAGTCTTGTTTCAAGGGTATGCTATGATTTACACTCTTTTTGGTGATAATCTTATAGGTTTCATCAATATGTCATCATAGGAAGTTATTATTGACTCAAACACAACTGGTGTTTCCACATCATCACACTCTCCACTAATCATGTACATTTTACCTAGCATCTTAGGATCATTGTATGCTAGCTTTTACAATTTAGCTCTAGAAATAAGCTTTAGGCTAACTTTATTGGACTACCTTTTAATATAACTTCTTGCCCTTCTTTTTTGAAACTCATTGACATGTCATTGAAATCAAATATAAAAAAAGACTATATTTCTTTATTCAATCAACTCCAAGCACTATGTCATTACCTCTAATGCCAAAACTCTTAGATCATAAGTAAATTTATGCTCTTGCATTATCCATTAAGCTATTTATATTTGACTATACTATACAACCTTTCACCATTAACCATAGTTATGGCCAAAATATTAGTACACGTCAACTAAACCCAATCCTTAGCACTTTGATCCTTAGCGTGTTGTATCCAGTAGTACATGTTAGAGCATTAATAGAGATTTTCAAATTAGCATCCCCTTGTTTTATTTTATTATGGATATCCTGACATTATCAACTGGTTCCTTATCATCCTTTCTTTTTTTTTAAAAAATTCCCACACCATGATGGAGTTCAATTGCTTGTTTTTGCAAATGTGGCCAAGAAAGAATTTTTCACCACATTTAAAACACAAGTTTGTAGCCTTCTTTATTCCATGAGAGTTTGCTTTTATGTAGTTGATGTTGTATTGGGAGAGATTTTTTATGGTTAGGACTGGAGGTTATAAGGGTTCTTGAAAGGAGTATAGGTGCTATTGGTTGAATTGGGTTAGTTAGGTGGTCTGTTTCTTTTGTATTCAACTTCCAAGGCTAGTTGGTGTAACTTTACTTGCTTATAGGCTGTTGCCAAAGTCAGAGGCTAACTAGCTTTAACTCTTGGCTTGAGATCTTCTTTTAGCCCACTTATAAAACTAGATATAAAATATAACTCATCCAAATGACAGTTATTATGAAGCATGAATGGCCTAAGCTCTTTACATTTCTCTTAACATTCTTCCACTATGGTATTTTGAGTCAGCTTGTTGAATTCTTTAATCACATCCGAATAGGTCTTGTCACAAAATCTCGAGCACAAATCATTAGAAAATTCATATGATGTAAATCTTGGTTTCAACATCAAGTATCCATCAAACCAGATTTTTGCTTTACCAACTAAATACATAGTAGCTATTTTCATTTTCTAATGGTTTGGCACTCCAAAAAATGGTGAAATACTTCTAACATTTTCGTAGCCATCCTCTAAGATTCTTACCTACGAATAATGGAAGTTCGATTTTTGGTCATGGGGTAAAAGCATTTAAGTTTAGAGGGTAGTTAGTCACAGGTGAAGCTTTAATATGTTTGCTTGCCCTCATGCTATTATGTATATTATTAAGGTTACTATCTTGTTGAAGTTTTGGTAGTAACCCTAGATCATCAAGCCTATAGCTAGACTTATTATATTCATCAATAATAGTTATTTCAATAGGATTGTTACCCTCCCTTTTGGTTTGCACCAATGGAGCCAAATGAGAACTGCCAACATGCTCCTTTCCTCTTTGATTTGGTTGGGTTGGAGATTTCCCTTTTTGCAGCAAGGATTCTAGCATCTTGGTCAAGTTGTTATGATTCTAAGCCATTTTGATTTCCAAATCCTTTTGATCTTCCCGCATTTTTAACAATGAGGTCTGTGTTGCCTTTATGTCTTTCAACGACGTTAAAATGTTCTGAACTTGTTCATGTAAATTATTCAATCGAGTCTCTTCAGCCATAGAAAGTGGTTTCCTATTCTTTCCTAGTGTTGATATAGGATCGCAATATCCTTTAATACCAATTTGTCATGACTCAATTGTGACTTGGTTAGGGTTTTAGATATTAAGAAGAGAATTGAGGAGACCAAGAAGAGAATAGAGCAAAATTGATAAGACTAAGAAGAGAACAGAGAAGAATTGAGAGGAGAAAATATCTTTTTCATTCATGAAAGTCAGTTATAGCTTATGAATTATTTCAATACAACTATTATGGAAATGTCGCAAAATAAAAAATACAAAAGTATTCCTAACCAATAGATTAGTAATTGATATCACTATTAGTATTCTTAGCTAATAGATTAATAGATGACATCACCATCTTTCTTTTTATATTCACCAATTTTATTGTCAATTTTCAACTCATATTTTTTTCTCATTCTTTGACATAATCTCTACCATAGTCTTGCTCATGCTACTTTTGCTCTTTTTTATCAAGCTTATCATAAAATGTGAGTTTAATTAGGATTGGATTGATGTTGATGCCTAATCAATTCTTAAATACTTTATTTTTTTTTGACTATTTATAAAAAATAAAATCGAAATGATAACAATTCATTATTATCGCTATTCAATGTTATACTGTTTTTAGTGGCCGTCACTTGCTGCAATGCGATTCAATTTCTAACCTGATTGTTGTTCGATAATGATAGTGGACAGTGATGCTACTGCAAAATAATCGCCACTATTCAGCTATGCCATCACTATTTAAATTATTGATCCATATGTCAACATTTCAGCAATTGAAGACAAAAATAGATGTACGTTAGATTATAGATAGAGTGCCAAAACTTTTTTTTTTTTGTTTTACCCTTTTTGTGCACTGTGTTTGCTTACAGCACTATCCGACAACCGTGTTTTAACCATATCTTTTGGGGATTAAAATACCACAAGCAGTTCACAATTCTACTGGAGAAAATTTTGCCAATGTAACTAATGTCCAAACAAGGCCGCCAGCAATCAAAATCAACAAAATGAAGATGTGCTAGTCTATAGTTCCTTGCACGATAGGTCTAGCAAATACAATCAAAACCGCGCGCAGCGCATATAAAAAGTGAACACAAAATTGAACTCCAACAAACCTAGGAAATTGGCTATGGAAGACTCGACAGTCCTTTACTCAGCTATTTCAGCCTTTCTTTTATTTCTTTCTTTCAAATTCTTCTTCAAGTCAAGAGCAAGCCACATAAATCTCCCCCCAAGCCCACGTTCTATTCCCATTCTTGGCCACCTTCATCTAATAAAACCGCCTATTCATCGTGCCTTCCTCAACCTTTCTAAGAAATACGGTCCTATAGTTTCCCTAAAATTCGGCTGTCAACTTGTGGTTATGGTTTCATCACCATCAGCTGTTGAAGAATGCTTCACCAAGAATGATATTGTTCTCGCTAACCGTCCACAGTTGTTGATGGGCAAGCACTTGGGCTACAACTACACAAACATGGTAAACTCATCCTATGGTGACCATTGGCGCAATCTTCGTCGCATCAGCGCCATCGAAATCTTTTCGTCAGCCCGCCTGAACATGTTCGTGGATGTTAGAAAAGATGAAATTATGCGGTTATTGAAAAAGCTATCACGGAATTCGTTTCAGGACTTTGCAAAAGTAGAGGTTAAGTTAACAATTTCAGATTTGACGTTTAACAATATCATAAGAATGGTAGCAGGGAAGCGATATTATGGGGAGGATGTGGGTGACGAAAGAGAAGCAAGGCAGTTTAGGGAGCTTATTGGAGAGGTTTTTGAGCATAGTGGAGCAACCAATCCAGGAGATTTTGTGCCCATATTGAATTGGATTAATCGGAATTACGAAAGGAAAGTGAAAAGGCTTGGTGAAACGATGGATAGGCGCTTGCAAAAAATGATTGATGAAATTAGAAGTAAGCAACAAGGAAACACTATGATTCATCGTCTACTTTCTTTGCAGCAATCACAACCTCAATATTATACTGATCAGATAATCAAAGGGCTTATACTGGTTAGTTCAATTCTTCTCCTTCCTTTTTGGTTATTTTAATATGCCCATTGACTATATTGTCTTTTCTGTTTTAATCCTTTATTCACGTCCCATCATATTACGTGTGAAAAAAAAATGTAAAAGCATACTCGATTATTAAGTCAAATATTATATTTACAGTGGTAATAAAACAAAGAAAAAAAATCATCAATTCAGTTAGCACGCACCCAAAAAACTTACAGAATTCAAATGAATTACTTACACACAATAAATTCACAAATTCACATAATAACTACAATAATTTATCAACAATGATTTTTTTTTGTGGGTTTCGATTTAAATTTTTTAAGAATTTATGAGTTCTTAAAATAAAAAAAAAAAAAGAAAGAAGATCAACTGGCGAAACAAATCATAATAATATATATTTTTAACATTTGATCCCTTATTAGCTGAACATTATAAAGAATTCATGTTTAAAGCCTAAGTTTTATATGAAAAGTTCAAATATGAGAAAAAGTAAACAAAAAAAATTTAAAAAAAGAGTTAAGATTTATTGATTATAGATTAATAACATTAATGAAAATTAAAAGAATATCATGAATATACAATTCATGATAATTAAATGTCATTTTTTAAATATCAAAAGATAAAATCAAATTATGTTGAATCTCGAAATATATTTTTATAATTTATCCTTAAATTAAGTAAGGCTTGAAAATGAACATTTCCATTAAATCAGCGAGGGGCCGTCATTCTCAGTGGGAACTAGGAAACCACGTGGCCTTTTGTTTGACCTCATAGTGCATTTGATTAGTCAATTGTATTTAGATTCGTCAATATATTTTTGATTCGTTAGTTGATTGGTCAATTGTCATGTCAATTGTGCTCAACAGCAGAGCTAAGATATTTTTTTTAGGAAGGGTCCAAATATATACAGGACGAGTATAAAATCAGAGCTAAGATATTTTTTAGGAAGGGTCCAAATATATACGGGACGAATATACAATCATTTATAGACACATTATATTATGGATATATTTTTATATAAAATTAAGAATAAACTTATAATTAAAGCAAAATTTTAATTAGAAATCTATTTTTATCAATTCATGTTATTTGTCATTATTGTTATTTTTTTATTAAATCAAAATAATTAGTTAAGTTGACGTTTCGATTAACGTTAAGTATATTTTATAAGACAAATTAATTAGATATAACTTCTTATGCAATATTAGAAGTTTCTAATAAAAATAATGTAAAAAAATTTAAAGATTAAAATATATAGGTTAATAGAACTTAATAAATAGATAAGTACATTGTAACATTAAAGTTTTTAAAATTTTCAAATAAATAATTTAATCAAAGCTCTTAAATTATAGTATGAGTATTAATTTTGATTTTCATTAGTAATCTTCATGTAATTCATTTTTAGGCGTGAACTTCACAAGTTTTACTAAAAAAATTATATGTTTTGTTATTTTATCTTTTATTATTAAAGTGTTTAATTTATTTATGCTCAAATATTTAACTTAGTAATTAGTGCATAATTCCTCCATGAGTAGAATTTAAATTATTTCATCTCAAATGAAAAGTGTTTAACCTATTTATTAACACTATAAAAAAAATGAGTAAATCAGTTTATATATATATAAAAGTCCTTATAGCTTACAAAAATATTAAATTTGAAAGCTATTTTTCATGGAAGAAGGATCAACTTACACAAAAATGTTTTACAGTTTTTTAATATTGAAAACTAAGTAATAAGATTAAACTATTTTTTCTTTCTTTTTCACATGTCTCTTTTATCTCTAAGATCTATTAATATCAATGGTTCAAATAGTATAAAATTTTTTAGTTTTACATTGAGATAAATTGTTCCTTCCCATTATTCACATAAATTTTTTATTTTTAAATAAGACAAAGTTTAAATGTTAAAACTTGAAAAAATTTGTGATACTTCTTTTTTTTTTTTTTAAGATTTGAGTTAAAAAGTTATAAATGAAAATTAATTGAAAGTGATTATATTTTATGATATCATTTATTTATTTTGAAAGATATATTTTAAAAAAATTCACATAACAGCCTATATATGTAAATAACTTTCAAAATTCTTGGTAGACCATAGTTGATGGCCTTTCTGGCTCTCATGTGGCACTACCACTGATTACGCAGTTAATCTCATGTGTTGTTAGGAAAGATATAATCATAGATTAAATAAAAGATTAAAGAGCTATATTGAATAATTTTTAATTACGAGTACCATAACATTTTCTTGTACTATATAGGTCAAATGAATAATTATCCCTACTATCTTATATTTACTTATATTTAAAATTGAAGTTTCAATTATGAATATATCTTGTCTCTATTATAACTTATAAATATATAAAAAAAATATTGATAAAAAATGTCTACAAAGAAATGGCCCCGCTGGTTAGAACTTAAATTTTCTGTTTGAAAGTTTAGCATTTGAATTTTAAGATGAATTTAATGGTATGAGATAGAAGAGTATTTCTTATTAGCGTAAAATATATTAGAGAAATTATCTAAAACATTGATAGTGGAATTGTTTAATTTTATAAGAGAGATTAAAATGATGACACATATCTTACTTTTTTTAAAACAATTCTTTTAAATATACACTAAGGACATGTATCACCATTTTAACTTTGCTTATGATATTAAAAAACTCTAATATAAGATAGCATTCGTATAGGCTGATTACTTCAAAACCATGATAATTTAGACATAATGATTAGATCTCTCATGTGTGGTAAATACATGGTGATCCTACGTGACAGTGATATTAAATCACTAAGAGAATATTTGATAATGGGTGATCTGTTTAAAAACCAGGGTAATATACACTTAGTACTTACATCACCTTGTTTGATAGCAATTTAAAAATCTTACGTGGCGGTGATTTTAAATCATTAAGGTGATAAGATCATTGCGTTGGAGAGCGATCTAATTCTCAATCTAAAGGATAAGAAAGTTTTAGCATCATGAGAAAGTAATTTTCATATTATTTTCTGACTAATTTTTCTTCATGAAAAATATAATTAACATTATCTCAAGAAGTTGTCTACTAAAAATTTTTAAAAAATCAATTTTTTTCATCATTTATTCTAAAAAAGTTTTACATTATAAATTTATATTGGCTAAAAAAAGATAATAAATTTATTTAATAATTTTTTTAAAAATTATTTTTATCCACATTTATTTATACTTTGTAGCTTTTTATAAAATAATGTTTATTTATTTTATAAATTGTTAATTCAATAGGTATTAAAAAATTTTTTGCAAGGTTGTTTTGGATATCTGAACTATATGATTTATTTTTTCATATAATACCAAACATAGTGATTTAAAAACACTATTGATTTATAATATTGTACCAACATAGTAATTTAAGATCACTAGTGATCAAATCATCTTGGTGATCTTATCACCATGATAATTAGATCATCGTGGTAATCTTGAAAATGATATTAAACACTGCATAAGAGTGATCATATCATTATCTTGGTAGATGATCTAAGTCAAAGGTTTTTAATACCGTACCAAACAATATTTTAATTTTTATTAAACAAATGGTATATGTTAGCACTAGTTGTTTTGGTATATTATTTTAAAATTTTTGATTTAATACCAATATATGTATAAATATACATGAATTTGTACATATTAATACTACTAATAATATACAAAATAAATATGCAATATATTCAAAAACAAATTAAATAAGTTTAAAAATATAAAAAATAATATTATCGATTTATCATATTATTTTTAAACATTTAATCTAACTATATAATATTTCAATAAGCATTTTTCTTTTTTACATGTAAATATTAAGATAAAAACAAAGACATGAAAAAATTAACCTTGACTTTATGATTATTAAACTTAGAGAGGGAGCATAATTGCTTTCTTAAAAGAGATTGAAATATTTATGAACTTTGGTTTGAAAAAATATAGTATAAAAAAAATAAGTTCTAGTAAAAATTAGAGAAACCAAACTTCTAAGGGTTATTCTGTCAATTAGTTTTATTTTGATTAGGTTAAAAAAGTCAAACAACAAAAGATAAGTTAAAAATAATAAAACATATTTCACATTTATGTAACAGTCGAAACAAGCTAATTCACCGAAATTTACCAAAACCAACGAAATAATTGTGGTATCAAATCCTGTATGAAAAATCACCTTTAGATGTATTGTGTTTTGGTATCATTGGTGTGTACCAGCCAGAACGATCGTTACCAAAATGAAATTAAATACATTGTCTAATTCCCATTTAAAGGGATCGAAGACTTTTATTACTTAAGTGAAGTGATATGCAAAATTAATAATAGTCAATATTATCCATTTAATATGTGAATTAAAATTTTGATTTCTCTAAAAATTGTAATTATTTTTCATCAAGTTCAAAAATAATTTTTGTATTTTTTGAATTTTCCTAAAGTTTTATATATAATATGATGTCTGTTTTTTTATTATGCTTTTAATAGATTGATTTTTTTTAATTCAAATGTTTTTTACATAATTTATTTTATAAAAATTAGTTTACTTAATAAATAAATATATTTAATAATTTAAAATTTTAATTATATTGATTATAAAATAAATAAAATATTACTATATTTTATGAATTATTATCTTTAAACAACATTTAAATCATTAACTTGTGTAATTATTACAATAAAGATGGTTATTTTTGTACTTTTAAATAAAATAATAATTGATTTTTAATAATATCAAATATAGTAATCTTTAATTCGTATGAATTAATGATTATTAGCCATACAAAGAGATTTTAAATTCACGAGTGACATGATCTTTGATAATAAGATCACCTAAGCAATTACATTACTATGATAATCTTAAAAAATGATATCAAATACTATTTAAATGTATTTTATAATTTCTCAATATACTATTGGTCATTTAATTATGATTATATTTTTAAAATGGTTGCCTAACTATTAAATTTTTTTATTTATCATAAAAAATTGAGTAAGTGTATGTTGTCATTCAATTGTTGTCTTTAACGGTAAGATGTCACATGGCATTACTAATATGCCATGTGATATTATAAATTTTGTAAAAAATAATTGCTGATGTTGCAATATGTCGTGGCACTAACAGCTGACGTGTTATTATCATGTCAATATACTATTAGAGACTAATAGTTGAATGACTACAAAAATATTTATTTAAACTTTAATGATTAAATTTAAAATTTAATAATTTAGTGACCATTTAAAAAACATAATCATAATTAAATGACCAATAATATAATTTACCTATTTATTATGTAATCCAAATCACATGTGGTTAAAAACTAATTACTTAGAAATATAAGATTTTAAAATTAATGAAATTAAGTTTACAATTTTAATATAAGCAATTATTTTATTTATATACCATAAAATATTTTTCTTATTTTGAAAAAATATATCAAGTATAAAGTCAGACATATTTAGCATTTGTTTTTATATTCAAATTGATTAGGTTAGAAAATTTTGGATTTAGGTTGTCTAGTTTATCATCGGATACTCAAATTTCAAGTATTTTTTTTATCAAATTGCTTTTAGATTTGAGTTACTACATATATTGAGTGATTTTTGAACTCAATTTACATATATTGAATTACTTTGGGGTTTGAGGTACTTGGTACATTTGGTCATTTTAAAGTATCAATTATAATGGGTTAAGATTAATGTTTAATTTTGAGAGATTTAAACTTTGAGTCTATTTAATAAAAAAATATATCTTTAATATTAGTATTTTTCATTTTTAATAATATATTATGTGTGTTTATTTTTGTATCCACATTCAATATAATTTGGCTTTGAATATCCAAAAATAAAAAATAAAAGGCTTTCAAAAAAATGCAGAAAAAAGAAATTGTAATATTTTCCATTGACGAAAAAATTTATTTTACGGTTTGAATTTTGGAAGAAGATGGAAGCAACTTTATCACAACTAAACACTTAACGGTCGAAAAAACAAACATCAAGCCAATTGTAACTTAAGGGGTGAAAATCATTATGAGTTTAAATTTGATACATTATCATCATATATATTTTATACACTGTCAGTGAATCGGATGATAGCAATTCATTAATGAGGTGAATCAGATGATAATATCTTAAATGAGTAAATTTTTTAATTTGTGACTATTTATTTTAAATATTGATATTTGCTTACTAATGAGTTATTTTAATTTGTGTATATTTATTTTAAAGGTTGATATTTACTTCATTAATGAGTTGTAATGATCTGATTTACTGACAGTATATAAATTTTATGAACTAACAATGTATCAAATAGAAACTCAATTATTATATAATTTCATTAATTGATGAAAAACTGTTATTAAATTATTTGAATATATATATTTAAATTGATTAAAAGAGATTAAGAGCAAAATGGAAACATACAATGGATAATATTATATATATATATATATATATATGTTGGAACCCTTTATTTCTATTTTTTATTAAAAAAAGCTAATATAGAGTAAATACATAACCTTTGATTCCCGTTTAAAATCAGCTTATTAATTTTTTTTGGCTAAAATGATAAAAGAGTCCTTGAACTTGACTATTTTTTTGAATAAGTTTTTATACTTTTATTATATGCAAATAAACTCTCAAATTTTGCTCTTAAATAAATCCTTAAACTTTAATTTCTATACAAATAAGCTCTTAACTTTAAATTTGTATTTAAATAAATCATTAATATAAATCAATAATTTTTTTGGAATAAAAACTTATTTGAATACAAATAAAAAAATAAAGACTTTTTTTGAATATAATAAAAGTATAAGGGCTTATCTAAGTAAAGTAATAAATTTTATGAGTTTTTATTATTTTAACATTTTCAAAAAAAAAAAAAAAGGGGGGGCACACCACTTTTTTTTCAATATGAACTTTACTACTTTTTTTGAACAAGTTCTTATACTTTTATTATATGCAAATAAACTCTTAAACTTTATTTTGCCCTCAAATAAATTCATAAACTTTAGTTTATATTCAAATAAGCTTTTCTCTTTAAATTTGTATATAAATAAATCCTTAATATAAATCAATTTTTTGTTTGAAATACAAATTTATTTGAATACAAATAAAAGAATAAAGGCTTATTTGAGTATAATAATAGTATGAGGGTTATCTAAGTAAAGTGGTAAATTTTAAGAGTTTTTTTTTTTTTTTTATTTTAACATTTTTAAAAAAGATAAAAAAAGGGGCAGACTCATTTTTTTTCAATGCATTTATATATTTTGCTAAATTAAAAAAAATCATAATTTTAAATGATTTACTGAACATAAAAGTTCTAAAAGTTTAAAAGTCATGATCATAGCGAATTATTTCTTTGGTATTTGAGGCAGTAAAAGATTGAATACTAATCACTTGAATTGATCACATATTTGTTGGCGACGATAGCAAATTATTACCTTTTTATTATATAATGTGCCTTAACGTATCCAACTTTTTTTTAAATTGCTATTTTTCAAAGGTAAAACCAAGTTACGAGTATTACTTTGAGCTTAGGCCTCAGTGCAGATTTTGGTGCAGGTTTTGGTGCTTGCAGGAACAGACACAACCGCAGCCACATTAGAATGGGCATTGTCTGCTTTGCTTAACAACCCTGATGTGTTAAAAAAAGCAAGAGATGAATTGGACGCTGAAGTTGGTCAAGAAAACTTGATTGATGAACCACACCTCACTAAATTACCTTACCTTCAAAATATCATATCCGAGACATTTCGATTGTATCCAGTTGCTCCACTTTTAGTTCCACATCTGGCATCTAATGACTGCACCATTGGTGAACACAATGTGCCACGAAATACAATGGTACTAATCAATGCATGGGCCATTCAGAGAGATCCAAACTTGTGGGATGATCCACTTGTTTTTAAACCTGAAAGGTTTGAGAATGGAGAGACAGAAAGCTACAAGTTCATGCCCTTTGGGTTGGGCAGGAGAGCGTGTCCTGGGGAAAGTCTTGCCCTTCGTGTGGTGGGCTTGACCTTGGGTTCATTGATTCAGTGCTTTGACTGGAAGAGAGTCGGCAAAGAGGAAATTGACATGACTGAAAAAAATGGGGCAACCATGCCGAAAGCGCAACCATTAGTGGCCATGTGCAAAGCCCGCCCGATCATAAGCAAGGTTATACCCGAGGCAATTAAAAATGTGTAAGTTTTTTCTTCTTCAATCTTCATGGTTTAATGACAATTCGCCGTTGGTTTAATTTGGGGACAGTTCGTTTCAATATTTCCTATATGAACTATATTTTCTACCCATAAGATAATTATTCTAAAATTATACTTATTCTTACGCTAAAGAAGAGTACCATGTTACAGTTAACAGTGCATATGGCTCACAAATGCACTTTTATCAGAACAATGCATTGCCCGTTTCGCCCTATCCGTAATTCCAGTAAAAAAACTTAATCTGCCCCCAAAATTTATTTTGCCTGTGTTCTTATCGGCTAGGCTTAAGTTTTTTTTTTTCCATTTTATTGTCTTTGGCGTTGGAGGCGACAATATTCTATGGTTTAGAATTCTAGGCCTTTTTTTTTTTTTAGATCAGAATCGATAGAAAAAATTAAGGGGAGAGGACAAACATAATAAAAATCAGGCGATTTGACCATTTGGAAGTAGCGAAATGGGTCTTTTGGATAGAGAAGCCGTGGAATAAAGTTGCATATATAGTTTTTGGGTTGTTTTTGAGAAAAAAAAAAAAAAAGCAAGTGTAGAAACGGAAAGAGGAAGCAAAGAAGTTTCGAAAAAGGGGATTTTGTCACAGAACATATAAGAAGAAGAAGAAGAAAGGAGTAAGCAGACCAGAGGAGAAATAAGAGGATAGCAGAAACAAATTTGATATATTTCATTGATAGTCTGATTTCATTACAGTGCTGTGCTATAAAGCTTATGGAAATTCCTGACTTCTGCTAATCACAAGGGTCCAATGAGTTGGTAGTTTAAAAGTTGATACATATCATATTTAATTATTGATGAGTAAAATTAAATTTTTATTAATTTTTTGATATTTTAATAATTATATTTGAACAAAAACGATTATTATATGATAAAAGATTATAATTATTTGAATATTAATAAATTATTATTCATAAATGTTATGATTATACAAAAAATTATAACTATACAAAAGGTCATAATTATTAAATAGAAATTTATTTTTATTCATTCATTATAATAGATCTTTTAATATAATTATTTTCACTATTTCTACTTAAAGAGTTTTGAAATTTTGTTATATTTTAAAGGCATAATTGACTTTAAGAAAGAGTTTTTATACCTCAAAACCAAAATTATTTTTTATTATTTTATTTATTTTTTCTAACAATTTAAAGATAATTATGAAATTCATATTTCACATGAAAAAGATAGAAAAAAAAAAAGAAATTAGCAAAGTTGGCAAAACTGACTTTTGGAACAAATATAGAAAGCTTCAATTATCCAAACAGTTTTTTGGTGAAATAAATATTAAGTACAAAATAAGTTTCTTGTTATTATCTTTCTAATTTGTATATTCTACTAAAATAATTGATGATTGATAATTTATAAGAAACCTTAAATCTCATTAAATTTTGCTTTCTTTATTGATTATTCTTTTAATCTTTTGATTTTGAATTAAATTATTTAATTTATGATTCATGATTTTATGGTATGTTATATGTAAATTGATTATGGCATTAAATAGTTATGAGCATAAAATGAACATGGAGTATTTTTTAGCTTTGGTTATGAATCTTTTATAACCTTATTATATTTTGGTAAAACTATAGTTATCAAATCAAAATGATAAAATTCTTGAGAATTATTTTAAGAAATAAAAGAAAATGTGAATTTATAAATTTTTCAAAAAAAAAAAAAAGCAAGTATATATGTTCTTATTATAAAATCATATTTTATGGTCTATATTCCGTGATCGCATTTTATTGACAAGAGAATAATGCATGATTCATATTATTTGATTTATATAATATTATTTCGACAATAAATAAACATATTATCTAAGATAACTCCAATTCAATTGGAGAATTATCTAATTATTTGTAACTAGTTAAAATGATTTTTATTTGTTGGATGAGAAAATTTCATGTATTTTATAATTTGGACACAAAATTTATAGTATTGTGTAGATATACTTGAAATTTTGACTTTTTCTAATGACATGAACCGTGGTGGATATGACTTTAGTATCCATGATCAAATAATTTTTAAGTATCCAAGAGTTGGAATGAAAGTCTTGAAAGGAAACTATAGAAACTATGAGTTTACTAGTTTTGAGGGTGATTATATTTGGTATTATACTTATTAATGCATGCTCTCATATTAAGTTGAAACAAAAGTTTTGAAACTTTTATGAAAAGAAAATATTAAGATACAAAATATTTACTAACTATCTTTCATTAAGAGTGGTTTTGGAGGTCTTTTACTGAAAAAAAAAACAAATAGTGAAAAGATAAATGAAATGGCAACTTGATTAAATATATATGATATCTTGATAATTGAATGGAGCTTTTTTAATAAAATAATACAAATTTGCATGTGGTGGGGGTGATAAGAATAAAAAAATAAAAATTGTCATCATAGTATTGTAAGATTTTATTATAATTTTATGAGCAAATTATACATGTTAATAAGTGTAGTACAACTTACTAAAGTAAAATCCTAAAAGGACTTTAAATATCTTTAAAAGACTAAAATGACTTGGTTTATTCATTAAGTTTATCTAGTATAATTATCTTAAAGATGTATAAAAGTATGAAAATAGAATGGTTGAAATTTATGAGTATAGAGTTGTGGCTACAACTAATACCATCTATTTATTAAAATGATAACAATAAGGCAACAATGTCTAGAGTATATAAATGATATGCAAAATGAAAGGTTTGGACATATTAGCTTGAAGTGATTATATTAGAGATTCAATCTCAAGTGGAGGTAATTATCATAAAAGAATATTGAATTTCAAGATATTTGGTAAGTAGTACTACAAGTAGAATGGATTTAAACCCTTACTATTAAACACCAATAATGGGAACCCAACTTTAAATTTGTAACCTCTAACTACAAGTTTAATAGGTAAAACAAGTTATTATTATGTGTCTGTTAAGCACTAGTAAAATCCATTCAAAATTTAAAAATTAGTGTGATCTATTGCGTAGGGAGAATGAGTTTTTATACTCTTAATGGAGTTTATTATTTAAATGTCTAAAGCAATGGAGACATAATGGAAACTCTACCTATATAAACATAGAAGTGGTGCCACTTTAATAAGAAAAATTAGAGTCTCTCTTGTAAATGTTTATGAATTAGATAGTACATGGCCATAATAGTGTTAAAACGGTTATAAACCTGTGGCAGAAGAATAAATAAGTGTTATGTGTGTTATATCTTCTATTCTAACACTAGGAGTTGATGTTTAATCTGTCGATACCATCAACTTTATTAGAATTCTAAGATATATATGCTAATTAAAGGTTTAAATCGAAAAGATACCTTCTTATATTCATAATATTTATTTGTGTTAAAGGTTAAAAGATTAATTACTAACATTCCAAACTAGTAGGGGATTGTTGCTAGTTTAGAATATGGCGCATCCCATATTAAATAGAAAATTTTAATTATTTATGAATAAAATTAATTTTTTATTAATTTTATTTATATTTTAAATAATTATGTTTGAATAGAAATAATTATCATGTGACAAATGGTCAAAGCTATTTGGATATTAATAGATTATTATTTATAAAGGTCATGATTATAAAAAATGTCATAATCATTTAAATAGAAGTTTATGTTTATTCATTGATTATAAATAGATCTTTTAGTATAATTATTTGTACTACTTCTGCTTGGAGAGTTTTGAGATTTTATTGTATTCTAAAGGTATAATTACCTTTTAAAAAATGTTCTTCACACCTCAAAACCAAAGTTCTTTTCTATTATTTTTATTATTTTATTTATTTTTTCTAACAATATAATAGTTCATGATTTAAGCTAGCTAATTACAAATAAACAAGTCAGAATCATTTACGATTTTGCTATCCTCATTGCTTTTTTCTCTAATGATCTCGCCAGTTAGCTTGTCTTTATTTCCATTTTCCAATTCTACCCTACTTAACTCAATGGTATATTGGCCATTTTCAACACTCTCTTCTCCAAATTCAACCTTTTTTAGTTTTTTAGTTTAATTGCACACTGATCACTCCCAACATCACTATAAGTTTTTATTTTGTCTTGCCATTAATTGTGAATAGCCATTTCATCACATTACCCTCCCCAATAGCTGATCTTTGTCCTCAAGGATCAAAGTGAGAGCTAAGTATAGAATAATCTTCCCAAATGGCATGATTAGATCCTAAATTAAGCCATTCCTCCAATACAGATGCCATTATTCAATTATTTTCTTTCACTAGTTACCTCTTCATAGCACTCATACAATATATCCATGCATGGGTAATAAAATGCACTATAGGCAATTTCAAATTTTTGTTTTCCCTCTTCAAATAAGGAATTATACACAACCAACATACCCTATGCTGAAATGGTCTTTGATATAATCCCTATAACACTTTTAACAGTGTGTTTGTAAACAAGATCCTCATTCATTCCATTTTTTATGTATCTTCCAAATAAAGACTCCACAATTCCATCAATAGCAACAAGTAGAATGCCCCACTCCCAAAAGATGTCACTTGTGTACTCCTACTCTAAAATAGTAGCAAAAGTGAAAGGAGATCCAAAGGCAACTGACCACCTTAAGGTAACATCAGTAGTTCTACTATCCATATCCTGATGGACCCTCAAAACTGGAATTGATTCTGACATCATTAATATCTTTGCCTTAAACGCAAAGTCTCCTTACAAATAGACCCATTCTTTTAGGACACACTATAATTACACTAATATTCTTTAGAAAATCGTTCATAAGCTGCAAGTGTCTAAAAACTAAATCATAAAAAAGCTGAATGATGCTATTTGGGTTCATATGAGAAATGTAAGCATAATTTTCTTTAAATTTTAAAATCATATGTGAGTATTAGAACACTACTTAATCAATTTGCATACTTGTTTGGGTAATCATACTGATAAGTGGAAGCAACATCCAATATTGAAGAAACTAAGTTTTCCTCTTAGCTCTTTTTTTACTAACAGCTCTCAATAGGTAAATACTGTTACTTAGAAGTGAAGAGGGGACGTTAGTCAATTTATAGTAAAATCTTATACACTTCCCTATTAAAGGTTTACTAGGCCAAAAGGCTACACAACCGCCAAATCGCACTAACCCAATAAGATGTGCAAAGCCTATATGTAAGTGATCACAATTAACTATTTGGGCTGTTGTGCTTATCTTGTAATAGGACTAAATTTATCAACATATTTTATTAAACATTAAAATCATCAATTAATAGTAGCCCACTTACTAAAAAATTCTAACATTTTCCCACTTAGGAAATATTAATTAGATTGTTTGATTTTAAGAAAACAAGACTCTAGGTTGATTACTTTTGCTTTGATGTGGCCATAGTTTTTGAAAAACAATTTAGCCTTTAAGACAATATTTTAATGATTCTATCCAATAAAACCATCAAATACCAAATTATGGCAGTCTTTATGTCTTGTATTGACATAAGACCAATTCATGGTTACAAGTGCTAAAGACTTTATCGATAATAGATCTTAGTGTGGATTTGTAGAAAGAAAATAACACCTAAATGTGATCTTAATGTGTTATTTTCATTGTTATTCCTCTTACCAATTTCTTTAAATTTGTTTAGAAAATCTCCATGACATCCAGATGTGCTTGTATGTCTCTTTTTTATTCTCGAGTTGGTATCATTTATGAGATATATCCAAATGACATTAAAGTTGTACTTAAGATAGATACGAAGTTTTAAGATTTTATAATATGACATATCAATATAAGATGTCCACATGCAATAATAAACATATATACAAATAACAACTATG